ACAGCTTGTGAAAGACGTTCAAGACATAACAATTGTTGTTGTGACAAATAGCTTATATAAATAGTGTTCCCACCACTACTGTCTTCATTGTATCCCAGTCGGCCGGAAGAGCTCTGGATTGAGAGAAAAGGGTCGTCGGCATTGGATATGACGAATACAATGTGGTTGAAATACTATTATTATACATTCTTCTAATTCTTGAAAATCCCTATGGGAGTAGATTAAGAATATAGTGTTGAAAAATAAGAGACTTAACATTACATCTTAGGACAAGCATAAATAATTATAATCATGCTTCGCCAGCTTGTAAAAAAGGCGTTCATTCCATAACAATCATTTCTAAATGTCTTCAATCAATTATTAGACAAAGCAATACACTAAAAGAACTACATGTTGTAAATGTTTAAACTAGTTGCTCTTGTCCAGGGTCACTGATGTGGAGTTGAATTATCCTAAACTAGTCTAACTCCCTAATAAAACTGTAGTAGTAAAATGAATCAGAGAACAGAGGCTTCGTTTGTTTCTCCTCGAAACTTAGTTTTGGTGACGAAAGAAATACATTACCTTCAACAGCTTGCGAGCTGAACAATTTAAAACATTAAGACACTAGTATTAATGCTACATGTTCTTCGAAAACGTATATAAACATAGGCTCAGAGTATTGTTCGTTTGTTTGAAGTTAAACACAAAGCTACACAATGGGCTATCTGTGCTCTGCCCACCACGGGTATCGAAACCCGATTTTTAGCGTTGTAACTCCGCAGACATACCGCTGTGCCACTGGGGGGGGGGGGCAGGTTCACTGTAATATATAAATTCGGCTTCTGTACGGGCTATTATATAACATCTACTCAAGAAACTACTTATTTTTGGATTGAGAAAAAAAAATTATATAGTTTTTACTAATAATTCTTAAGAAACAATTTTTTAAAACAAATTTCACTTTAAAAAAAATCTAAACAATACCATGGTTAATGTGGACAAATAGTACTATATTAAAAGCTATTTCGATTTTTACATAATTCATTAGTATTATTATGAATTATTAGTCAAGTTCTTTTTTAATCATAATATTAATGTTATTTTCAATTGCTTTGGCAATAGATTGAAATTTTGTTACCTAAGTAACTGTAATGTCTCTGGATTATAATCCTATTTTACTTCCTAAGTAACTGTAGTGTCTCTGGATTATAGTCCTATTTTACTTCCTAAGTAACTGTAGTGTCTCTGGATTATAGTCCTATTTTACTTCCTAAGTAACTGTAATGTCTCTGGATTATAGTCCTATTTTACTTCCTAAGTAGCTGTAGTGTCTCTGGATTATAGTCCTATTTTACTTCCTAAGTAGCTGTAGTGTCTCTGGATTATAGTCCTATTTTACTTCCTAAGTAACTGTAGTGTCTCTGGATTATAGTCCTATTTTACTTCCTAAATAACTGTAGTGTCTCTGGATTATAGTCCTATTTTACTTTATTCTATTTCTGACAAAGATTCCTTGATAATCGTGTAATATTATATTTATTATTTACATTTAGCAGTTCGTAGTATTTCCTTAGAGGATATTACACAGAGACAAATTTTTCATTTCCAAGATTCATAGCTTTTATATATTATTTACAACAATCTCAAACTGTTTATAAAACATAAACATCTATTTGATAACACGACTTTTTACGTCTTTTAATAGTTTTACAGTTAATTCATGTAATATTTCCAATGGTAGAAGCCCATAATTTGAATATGACTTTATGTAAGTAATATGAATTATTTTTAAAACAGACAAATTAACAAATTCTCTTATGCAATGAATTTGAGAAATTGTCTATTAATTTTCTCTGATATAGCTAATACGTAACTTCCAAGTTAACTTCGTGTCAATAATAACTCTCAAATATCTAAACCAATCGACTCATTCAATAACCTGACTGTTGTAGGTTAAATGATTACAGAAAACGGAATGATAAAAGTTTTATTACACATATTATCTATTTGATCTTCCCTAAGTGTAAAATTGGCATATGTAGTTTTCCGAACATTTAAAATTAAATTACTGATAAAGCAATTTATAAAAGTCACATTTCATCTGATTTAACTGAACATATTAAAACTATAGCATTTTTAAAAGTTCTGTTTCTCCCGTTTAAGACATATAAGTCATTTATAAAAAACGAAAGGTACAACGAGGCCCAAAACAGAGCCTTGTGGTACATCCTGCTTAATTATATTTTCATTACTAACATAACTTCCAGTTTTGTTTCATGTTTGTTAAGTAACTTTAAACTTACTCCAGAATTGTAACCTCTTATTCTTACTCTTCATTTTCTCTATTGACAATTCATGTGATGCTAAGTTAAAGGGTTTTTCTCGTCTAAAAAAAGTCGTTAGAAAACTTGTATAAAACGTACAAGCCAACGTCTCTGATGTTGCATTTTCTGTATTCATGTTGTTGTTTTTTTTTCTAAACTCAAATTGGTTAACAGAGAAGATGTTGAAAACTTACTAGAAAGTCTTAGACAATACTGAAAAAGAAATAGGTTGGTCATTTTCTAATATTTAATATCACCTCTTTGATATACAGGGATTGCTATAGCTATTTTAAAATGTCCAGAAAGACTTCTTCCAAAAGTGATAAATATACTTAATAAAACATAATATTCCCTTTAGTTCTTAATCTAAATATTATTATCTGATCAGCTCCAGCAGCTTTCCCAGAGTCTAACTGCTTTGTCACTTCTTTAACGTAAGTTTCAAATACATATTCAGTAAAACATGTTTTGTACATCATTTTAACAGATTCACGTTTATTAGGTAAAGTATGTTCATTAACATTATCAACCAACAATGAATTTCGAACAAAGCTATTCGAAGATAATATACGCTAAGTGTTCGTAATTGAAAAGTGATAGACCAGAGGGAAGGCAGTTCATCAACACCCACTATCACATAAACTCTTGGTATACTATTGTACCAATGAAATGTGGAAAGCGGGAACGCGAAAATGTAGATCAGAAAAATACGATACATGAAGAGTTAGAAGTTATAAAAAAATTAGATAAGGGGACAAAACATATGGAAAAGAACATTAGTTAGAAATTTAAAACGTTTAAGAACAAAAGTGCCGAAAAAACAATTAACAGAAATGGAGGTAGTTTAAAAAAAAATTAGTTTCTGTTCAAGTAAGTTCGATTAGTATTTAAAAATAATGAAGGAGAGAACAAAACAAATTAAGGAAATATAGATTAAAAATAAACGGAGTTGAATAAGGACATAAATGGAAACTGAATGAGCTTCAGTAATAAACCAGAAATATTAATATAGAAAAGTGGGTATTCCTGGGATTAAGGAAGAAAGTGTGGGTAGAATAGTTGAAAAAATGGCGAATTCACTGAAAGTCGGTATGGTAGATATATCCAGCTCACTGTGTGTCTATTATAGATAAAAATAAAATAATATCAATTATTACAACAGTTTGGATCGTGAAAGATAAAAGAATAGTTAATAGAATTGGAAAGCTAGATACGAATTAAACACCATTGCTATTGCCGAGTGGTATCAAAACGTAAAAATATATGTTAATGATAGGTTTAGGCGAGATAAAGAAAATATTTCAAATTTCTTTGGACTAAGGATACTATACTTTATATTAGAAAAGATAACATATTTGAACCAATGTGAATTTAAAATATGATGATTTAGATAATGTAAAATAAAGTAGAAAATGATTTGTATAAGTGTAATGATTTAGAAGGAGCTTATGGCTTGTTGAAATGTTCGAATTGAGCATGGTTCAAATACTGGAATAAATTATGGTATGGAAAATGCTAGGAATGCTGAAAATAGATAAATATAAATAATGACGTTGATGATAATTTTGTATGAAAAAAATAATGGCAAAGTGAGTATTACAGAAAAAGAAAATGTTTTATATAAAACTAACTTATTATTTGGCTAATGGTATAAAATTAATTCAAGGGAATATCAGAAGAATAGGAAAAAAAATCGATAATTTTGTTGTGTTTTTAAATTAAACTGATTGGAAACCTGATATCGTAATCCTGATTAAGATTTATGACATGAAATGCCACGTTGTTATACTAAAATATATAATACATATTCTAAATGTAGAGAAAACTATAGATCTGATGGCATAATTATTTTAAATAGGCAATGGTACTGAGGTAAAGCAAAGGTTAACATATTTTACAACAAGTGATTTTCTGGATTTATATTTTAAAATACAAAGTGTTGAGATTGCTTACTTGTAATTATGATTTTAACAAGGAACTAGCTAATAAATTAGTTGATAATAAGTATAACAGGTGACTAAGTATCAGTTATTAAAAAAATAATAATACTTGTCATGAGCTAGAAAGAAGAGAAATTGCGAAAACACATTTTTTCTTTAAAGTTAAGGACAAAGATACACGATGGGCTATCTGTGCTCTTCCCACCACAGGTATCTACCGGTCGCAGGTTCGAATCCCGTGGCCGAACGTGCTCGCTTTTTCGGCCATGGGTGGGGAACATTATAATGTGACGGTGAAGCCCACATTTCATTAGTACAATAGTATACCAAGAGTTTATGTGATGGTTGACGAGCTGACTTCCCTCTGGTCTATCGCTTTTCAATTACGAACGGCTAGCGTAGATTATCTTCGAAAAACAAAATAAAATATCGCAATGATAGCGGCTCGTGATGGAAACGTTTAAATTATGTACATATCAACCCATCAATATACCTGTTGACGAAATGACCAATTATTTCTAACAGTTCACTTCGATAGGTTGTGTTTCCTATTGTTTTCAGCGGATGGAAAGAAGCCTATAATAACGTTAAGTATTTCCATTCAGTTATCTATCTAATCAGTATCTTTGTATTAATAAAACCTGAACAGCATCATAAAGGCCTGAAACTATTATCAGAAATTTTCGTTTTTCCAAAAGCCATCTTGCTTGTTTCGAGAGCTCTATATCTTTGTAGAATAGGTTTCACTTCCTACCTTTTTCTTGCGTTTCTCACTTTCGATTACTTTGACAACAAAGAGTGGGGCTTACACGCTCCCTAACTGAAGGATCGCTTCGGTAGAATGATGCCTCAAACTTTTCAGCTATGTGCTGGTCCCTCAGATGAGTTGTCGCCTTAGTTCTCAAGCCACAACAGTCAAACTTACTTTACGTTTACTTGAATCTTCATAGACAGAGAGAAAAATCCATATCTCCGAAATGTTGACAGCGATGGATTTGTTTTCGTAGCTGCGAGTCAGCCTTAGTTTAACTCTGAAACTGGAGGATCAGACACGTCTGGCGAGCGCTACACAAATATCGACCATCTCTCGCTCCACACAGCCAGCCTGCCGTCTGTCAAGCGGCTCGTGCGCATGTCTCAGTCACGTTTTTCTCGCACTCTGCCAGGCCTTCCTGTCACACTCCTTTTCTTTAGCCGTCTGAACACAGACCAAGGCGTCAAACGAAGATTTATGCTGACACGGCTAGTAGGCTGATAGCCCCCGGCAAGGTTCGCGCTATCTAGTCTTTTACGCATGGTCCAGCCTTGGAACAACGTTAAATGTTATTACGTTTTACTCACATAGAAAACAGTTAGTTCTGGTAGCATATTAACTTTACAAATGGCGGGTAAAGACAGTTTTAGCACTTCGAGTTTTTATAGTTAGAAATAGATTATAAACAAGTAAACAAATAATCGTTAAGTGTACTTGCGTGTTAATTTTTTTGTGTTATTAGATTATGGGTATTTGTGTGTATTACGTCATAAGACTCGTTTGATGAAAATTTTGTCATTTCTTCTGAGCTATTTGTTTTATTTATTTTGTTCTTTCGCTAGAATATAACAGCAAATATGATTATTAACGTATCTGATAAGTATTCAAGTTGGATAAAACCAATTTTCAGCACCTTACAAATATATATCATACTTCTGAGCACAAATATAAGTTTTTCAAACCCAGGAAAATGTAAGGAACAACCTTTTTTTGTTGTTCTTTATTGGACCGAGTGTGACTGAGCGATTAGTGCGTCCGGTTTGTTAAACCATAGGGCGCATAATTAGCGTCCCATTGCCCCCCTCCAAAAAAAAAAACGAATGTCGCACACACGTTCCTTGTTCACCCCAGCAAAAGCATAAAACAGTTCATCAAATTTCTTACGAATGTCGCATACACATTCCTTGTTCACCCCAGCAAAAGCATAAAACAGTTCATCAAATTTCTTACGAATGTCGCATACACATTCCTTGTTCACCCCAGCAAAAGCATAAAACATTTCGTCAAATATCTTACGAATGCCGCATACACATTCCTTGTTCACCCCAGCAAAAGCATAAAACAGTTCATCAAATTTCTTACGAATGTCGCATACACATTCCTTGTTCACCCCAGCAAAAGCATAAAACATTTCGTCAAATATCTTACGAATGCCGCATATATATTCGTTGTTGTTCACTCCAGCAAAAGCCCCAAGTGGTTCCCCAAGTTTTTGTTTTTAGATCAAAATAATGTTCTAATGTGAAGACTCTCACACTT